CTACAGGTGAAGCCACTGAAAGGCCAGATAATGTCCAGCCTGGCAATTTATACTCCTCACCAAACCTCATCCAATCAGTAACATAGCAGGAGGGGAAAAGCCATTCTTTTCTTATCTCTGTCTCCACTGCTTCCTTCAGCCAGCAGGGCAGTGGCCATCGTGTCAGCACAGTCATCATTAGGAGAGACAAACTCAGAACTGATTACAAACAATTAATGAGTGGACAATAACTATTGTCTTTTTGTATACAAGTATATATAAATATCTCAATTAATTCATGAATTAGTCATGAAGGTGATTTGGGGCGGTTGTGGCTCTGGAGGTAGAGCAGGTCGTCCCCTAATCGTAGGGTCAGGTTAGGTTGCTAACCAACATGTTCACTTTAGCTCTGTTTTTGGTCTCTATCAACTCCAGAGGGAAAAATCTGACTCTTTAACTGCTAAATATTCCACTACGTTCATCAGCTACTCATTTGCTGTTTGGTGCTGCGCAGGTAATGTACAATGAGATTTTACAGTGTACTTTTTTCACTGCTGTGCCTAAAAATCATACCATGAGAATGAGCCAAAACAATGAGCTGACTGAAGCAATTACGTTAATTTGGGCTGAAGAAAACTACAGTGTCTCTCCAGCTCTGTCACTAAAACTGACTCCTTGACACTGATCCATTATTAATATAAAAATAATGATAATATTTCCTTTAAAGTCTGTGTAAAGCATCGAGTCTTACTAGCAAAAAAAAAAAAACTAACTCCTATGGGGTACAATGAAAAATTAAAAGTTACAAGTTAACAAGATCTTTGTCTTTGGGTATTTTGCTGTAATATAAGACCCCAGTGAACTTCATTCATCATACATATACCTAAAAAAACCATCACTGGCTCTTTCTAGAGGACACAACATTGGCTCAACAGGAGCTGAATAATGACTTTAACTAGCCTATGAGATAGGACTGTGATAAATTGCTCTGTGCTGCATGTCAGAGCGTATACACATGCACATAAAGGCCAACAGGGCGTTGGCTGTTGTATGCACCTAGAAACTGGTTTCAGAAGCAGGCTGTTCCTACCATATGGCTCAGTATTCACAAGAAGCAATTCATTAACATGTCCAAACACAAGCATTTAGCTGGGGTGGGTGTGGGGGGGATATCAGACAGTAAAAGATAAGGTCAATGAGCACAGCAGCAACACAAACCCTGCAGTGAAAAACATACCCTTCCACATACTGAGTTTTATGAAGTCGATAAAGGCTAAACAGGGGACACAGAAGTCCTTATGCCCCAGTGTTAACACTCTTGGATGAGAGTTCAGCCTGCAGTGGAGAGATAGTGCTTGGAAGAGCTTTTTACTCCAGACAGAGACGGTCAGTACGCTGCTTCCTACAACTAATACTGGCAAAGAGTGATGTCCTTCACCTGTATATGCCGAAGTCAGTGTATTGACAATATGGGTGTTTTTATTTTTCTTCACCACCACCCAAGAAGTAACCTGTCATATTACTTTGGACAACACCAGCAGACCACAGAAGAAGATCAGATATCAAAAAGTTTCCAAGCTTAGTCTAACTTCCTGACAAGCCGTCAGCCACGTTTGTAAGAACATTTTAAAATTACTTCAAAACTCAGGAACGTTTTCTCAAATCCCAAAAGTTCACATTTAATTTAATTTTTTAACATAAAAACAAATATGTTTTTAATACTTTTATTCCCTACATCATGGTCTGGTGCCAGTTAAACAGTTCGCATTGAAGGTACAATACGCTTTTCATTTTAACTACATGTGTAAAAAGTCAGTTTTGTCTAAAATGCTCAGTGTCAACAGCCATGCTAATGGCTCCCTGCAGTGGTACTTAGGCTACTCAGCACCTATGAGATAATTATTATCATTAGCATGTTATCACACTCACAGTGCCAAAGCTAACACACCGTCTAACCCTGATGTCATCAGAAATAATATTTACCATACACTTATGCTAACAAGGCTGATCTGGTATTTGCCATATTCTTGCTATGCTAATATTTGTTAATTTGCACTAAACACACATAGGCTGATGGGAAAGGCTGGGTATCTCATCATAAAACCAAAGTAATGGTTAAAATTTCACATGACAAGAAGGAAAGGAGAGTAGCTACAATCCTGACAACTTAAACTACAGCTCACTGCACATTTTTCTCTATTTTTTCTGACCCTCACAGACTAAACAACCA